CCCCAAAACCCCAAAACCCCAAAACCCCAAAACCCCAAAACCCCTTTATTAATATATTATGTTGAAATGCAATAATCTAGAAAGTTAGATATACATAGACTCAATATCAACCAGTGGGCTATTTATGTGACTCCATAACAGATGATTTCTGTATCTCTCCTCAGCAAAGAATTTTGAGTACTTCTTGTAATTATTCTTGAGTGGGAAGATCAGCTCAAAGTTCTCTACCTTTCTTATTTGCTCCTCATACTCCATTATTAAATTGAAGTCTTCTTCATCCAGCTTTCCTGAGGAAATATCTTCTATATTTTTGAACGACTCTTTCTTTTCTTCTGAACTATGACCTAAACCGTCACTATGCAACTTCTTCCTTTCTTCCTTTTCATACTTCTCGTGGTTTACAGGTTTGAGACCAACAATTGAGAGAATATCACAGACCAACATTGTTTTTAAGGTCTTATCAAATGGAGAAGAAGATGAGAAGGAAGGGCTGATGTTCACCTCAAGAATCCATGGCTTCAAGTTAGAATCAATGATAATATCAAAACCATAAAGTTCATAGCACTGATTTGGTTTAATACCTGAATCATTGATGCCTTCTACAATAGGGGGCTCCACTGCTATGATCATTTTAATAATCAGATCCTTCATTCTTCTTTTGACACTCTTGTAATCTTTTCCATGATCTTCAAAGACTTTCTGGAGAGTCTTTAGACTCCATTTAGAAGCTCTTAAGTTATTGGCAACTTTCGATTTATTTTGTGTGTATTCTTCTGCATTTTTCTGAACACTGTAATTAGTCAGATGGACATATTTGTTCTCAAACTGGTCTTCATCAAGAGTATACTTCCCTGTAGCAAATCTTGCAAGACCATCATCATAAAGATAGATTATCAATGGATCGTAGCTGACAACAAGAACATAAACTCTAAGGTCGTACTTTCTACCTTCGATTAAATGGGGGTTAGCTATATATTCACTAATCACGAAGCCTTTCTTATGCTTCCCAATTGGATCATCTCTTCCTACAATTTTGATTCCTTTACCACAGCTTGAAGCGCTTGGTTTGAAGATCCATAATTTCAGATCCATTTCTGGGTCATAGTCAGGATCTCTTCTATCATCTTCAAATTCTTCCTCATCCTCAGGGAAAATATATGTTTTTGGACAGAAGTTGTAATCTTCTGGATACTTCTCCGCCACAGTCAAGTAGTTTCTCCACATGGCATCTTTCCTGCCGAGATTAAAGCTCTTTGGGAAATGATTAATTTTTTGGTAGCTTCTGAGTCTCTTCAAAATGTCATCCTTTATGGATCCTGAAAATAGTAAGTTAAAATTATTTTCATCAGGATCTTCCTCCTCGTCTGAAGTATCCGAATCAGTCAATCCTTGGGCAATTCTCTTTTTCTTGAGCATCTGCTGTTCTCCTACAAGGTACATGCCAGCTGCTTTGCAAGAGTTGACCATTGCATTATAGATGTTAGTATTTTCGCTGATTTTAAACCGCATTGTAAGAGGCTCTAGCTCTTCTTGAGGTTTATAGAACACCCTATCAAACTCATCCTTCTTATCCCCAACATAGCTTGGGTAAGGAAAGAACAGCATTGGGGACCTATCCTTAAAGGGAGACTTGATAAATGCTAGATACTGGGAAACTGGTTTTCTGACACTCATAGGAATCTTTCTGGTCTTCTTCCTCTTTTTAGAAATATCTACCATTGTTCCAGTAGCATTTAAGTGGTAAGTCCTGTCTTCAACGCTGTCCTTAAAGAAAGCTCTGGTGGCATCTGGAGCTTCTTCTTTTCCAGAGAATGTTCTAGAAGAAATTTGGTCAGATTTTTGGAGAATTTTACTTGCATAAAAATGCAAAATAATTTGTTATTTAATAACTTGTTTATATAAATCAGCTTACTTATTACGATCAGGTTCATTTTCATCTTTTGACTGGCTTGAATTTGAGTGGCTATTATCTCTATCTTTGGTAGATCCCATTGACGAGCTGTAAGAGTATGTTTCTTTTGTAGGTCTTTCTTGGTAATTTTGAATATCCTTGTTAGAGCCATCAGAATCGCTAATGTATCTAGGCTTTGGCATATCATATCCTAACTCTTGATCTAAATTTTTATTATAGTTAGAAAAAGATCAATATTATCAAAAAGATTAAATGATTCCATCAACCATCATAATTTTTTCTTCTCGCATTTAATTTAAAGTTCATTCCAATAAGTATGATTCGACCGATCAAAACTTACCATCACTTCTTATCTCAATAACATCTATATCGAAATTAGTCATGTCTCATACAAAACTTCTAAATCTCAAAATTCAAAAACCCTCGCATTCATCATTCCCCAATCTTTCAAATCCATATAAATAGCTCCTCTACACCCTCCTACTTTTGTCAACTTTAATCTTAACTCAAATTCAAAACTAAGCTTGCTGTAGAAAACCTTACCCCCTTCCAAAACTTCTCTATCTAAATCTTCTCAATAGAGTAATCCCATTAACCTATACTAAATCCTGCTGACCCTTTTAATCTCCACTAACTTTTACTTATCAAAAATTGTGATGTTCCAAACCACTAGTACCTCTGAACCCTTATTTTACACTAAGAGACATCAGATTTGCAAGAACCCAAAAAGCTGAAAATCTAACCGAGCTTCATGATTTTAATCCAAAAGCTCTTTAATTATAAGCAAAATTTATTTATTTGGAAGAAGAAAAATTTGAAATATAAAAAAATCTCCGTCATACCCTAGTAGCTTAGATATGACTTATTAACATTGAACAAGCAACCTAGAGACAAATTAATCACAGTAGGGGCGACTTATGGCATATATGAAAGATTGGCTGCATGGATAGCAAGTCTTTGCAACATCAATGTTTGCATCAAAGTTGTTTAATAAGCTTTAAGGGAAATATAGCCACTTTACTAAATCAATTCTTGGAGAATATCAGCAATAGATGGATAAATTCAATCTTTTATAGAGAATTTAACTCTCCTTTATAAATAATTTACTATTTCTATACACATGAAGGTGACTACTTCATTCAAAATGTCTAATGATCAATCTAATTTGGGAAGAGCAAAACTTCTGCCTCCAAAATGAGCAAAAACTTCTATGCCATGCTTGGTACTCAATATAGTTTTGTTAGAGGGGTTGAGAACTTTGCGCTAAGCTCTAAGATGGCATTAACATTTGTGGCGCATTAGGACTTACCTTTTCTTTCCTCCTCCATTTTGCAATAGATTTATTAATTTAAATTTATCTACATTTAAACCTTTTAGTGGGGTTTTGGGGTTTTGGGGTTTTGGGGTTTTGGGGTTTTGGGG